TTCTTGGTTCTTGGTTCCTGGGGTCTGCCCGCATTTAACTTAAATCTTTAAATGCAGTTTTAAATGCAGCCAGACTCCAGGAACCAAGAACCAAGAATCAAAAGTCCTGAGCATCTTGGTTCTTGGTTATTGGTTGCCGGGGACTGTCCGCATTTAATTTTAATTTTTAATGCAGTTTAAATTCACGGGGACTCGCTCAAGCCAATGGTTTTATGACTTCAAGTTTTTTCTCGTTAGGTATTGACCCCTACCCTTATATGACACACGAAATAAAGGATGCAGGAAAACTCTAAGCCCACCATCTGCAACAAGCTGTGCCAACATCTGGGAGTCACAAACTTGTTTCCTCTCCATGCTCTGCCTATGGGATTCACTATCTCGTTCACACTACCGCACATTCACGGACCCACTGACGCATCAATCCAAGCTCAGTTGAACACCGAGTCTTTCGCTCATCCAACTAACTCACCAGCTGTGGGAAAACCACCGGTTATCAGTCTACTCCTACCTACTTTTCTAACTACTTTACCACTGTACATGTGCAGACCTATGTTTGCTTCCAATCGTGCAGTGCTTCACAATTCACATGAGTGAGTGCGCAGCGGCTGCAATCATGAGTGATCATGTTGTGTTGCAGGCATGAGCTGGCAGTGCACTGCATGCATATGTTGTGCAGCTTGCGCATATCAAAAACATAGTCTTCGTCCTAGCAGTCCCCCCTCCACTCCGTCATGTCGATCCCATCGCCCAGCGTGAACATCATCGGCACCATGAGCCTAGATGCTACTGGAACAGCGACACTTCGTTTGTCAAGATTGGCACCCGCGACAGAGCAAGGCTCGGCATCCACAAGCGAGCCCAAACTCAAGGGCTTGGATTTGTTCTCAATTGGGACGCCTCCTACGTCTGACTTTATCCTTGAAGGCATGAAAAACAACTCCTTCGACATCCACGCATCCCGCGTCAACATGACGGCTCGCCAAGTCTATGTTATGATCTACAACATCCAGGGGCGCTTGGGGCTCACCAAGGGTCTTGACGGTGGGTGGTCTGAGACGGCAAGCAAGATGATCTTGGAAATGCTCGGGAAGGCTAAGAAAAGCAGGACCACATCACGTGCAACATCATCGATCCAAGACGGCATCAGTGAGGAGGATGCCTCATCAGTCAACATGGACAGCGGGCACGAGCCAAATCAACCCACAAATCCGGAGATGTCAGGCAATGACAGTGAAAGTGACAGCAGCGGCTCGGACGACGACAACCAGAGCAACCACACATCCAGTTCGTACACTGCCTCCACACCATCGCCAGTGGATCTTATGAGGCGGGAGTCCGACTGGCATGATACGTATGTTTGCGCTCTCGACATGGCGCGACCGATTAACCTCCACAGTGACAAACGGAAAAAGCGGCTTGTGAACAGAGTCTCGAAGACGATCAAGAAGGCCAAGGGCAAGTATGAGGGAGTGTAAGTGTTTCACCAATGTGGTATACCGGCCTTTCTTCAGGGTGTGACTTTCGGAACAAGATGTTCAAAAAACACGCTAGGCGATGCTTGTTGCGCCATCAACTTTCTAGTCTCGTAGCTGCATTGACAAGAGCGGTTATGTAACGCACGCCAAGCCGCAAAAGAGCGAGTTGTCCTGTTTCGCAGCAACTGCAGCTCACATTCATGTGTGATTGCACTCATGCACTCAGTGACAGTCTTACTCATTTGGTTATGTGCAACACTACAACACTACCATCACTATGACGTGCACCGCAGGCGACGTACCATTACACATACACTCAATATTGTCAGAGTCAGTACCGCTAGCATGCATCACCTTTGCCTCCACCAACTACACACCACCAGTAGCAACAGCAGCAGCAGCAGCAGCAACACGGTGTCAATAGCAACTCCCCATCAAAATATGAAATTTCAACTGGCAAGGAGTGGAACTACGACTCGCTAGCAGTGCCCCAGTGTGGTCTTGTGAAAGCCGAAGACATCGAGGAACCTATCTGCCTCCAACAATTCCTTGCTGAAGCTTGTCGTCGCACGGAAGGCACCAAGGTGACCACAGTCATCTTCGACGTCCACACCGGAGTGCCCGAGTTCGGCGGGTTTGCACGCATTGGAGAGCAAATTCGAAGAGGGGAGCTAGATGGACTCCCACTACCTTTGCAAGTCCCACACACCTTGCCAAAAGGCGCCAGCATGGGCATCGTCATTGAAAACCTGCATGATGGAACCCTTAACATCGTCAAGGTCTTGCACTTTCCGGACAAACTTGCCATCCCCCATGCCCTGAAGCTTTGTTTGTACCGGAGATGCCTACGTGCCTGTGTACCGCCCAGGCCCATGGGCGGTTCGGAAGACAGCGCAGTATCTCCTGCAACGTCTCTCGGGCTATCGGGTTTTGTGGAACAACGTCTCTGAGAAGACGTCCAGCGTTCGGAAAAGCTAGAGTGCGCAGTGGGCTCCCGAAGATGATGCCTTGCGGCTTGGCATAGAGTTCATCAACGCTTACTCACCAGAAGGCGATGCACTGAATGAGCAGACCTTCTGGATTCTCTCCAGTATTCGGGAGGGATCTGGCACTCCCATCATCGCACCAATGTGGACGACGTACATTTGGACTTGCTGAGCCCTCATGACAACTCCTATGCGGAATACAAGCAGGGGAACATGGTCAGGGGCGACGGCTATGAAGCTTGCATCGCTCGTGAGCAGAACATGATCCACAACTCCTTCATGAACATGTCGGAAAAGGGCACTCAAGCGTACCGGGACCATTGCAACCAAGAAGTGCATCGGCGCCTCCGTCCAAGGACACCATCTCCGAACCGTATCCGGCACTTGCCAAGTTCCCCGTCATCTGATGAGGCTCAGTCCATTCCTCCTACCGTGCCCTTCTCCGTGCAAATGGCGACACCCAACATGCCCCGCAAGCGCATCCTGAATTCCAGTACATTCATGTATCCTTCCCCGACGAGACGCGTGTCCACCAAGACTGCGCCCAATTGCGTGAGGTACAGCCCTGATGCAGACCAACTGCCCACGGAGCCGTCCTCTTCCATCGTTGCACCAGGAGCAGATCAGAGTTCTCCCAAAGCTTGCAGTCAGTCCGACGAGATGGACATAGATGAGGAGGCCTCCCTCTTCCTGCACCGCGTGTGCTGAGTAGTGCGGACATCTGTTCTCACTCGAGGGCCTAAGTTTTGTCTGATATAGGCCTGGTCATGGGGCAAACATGGGCAATCCAGTCCACCTTGCAGATTGGTGCAGGTGACGAAACTCTCAGTACCTTAAGGCTCCGATGCTTCGCTTTCATGCCCAAATCTTGCTGCTGGGTGTATTCAGTGTAGCCAGATGATGCTATGACTTGTCGGACAAAGAGATTCCCACGACCGTGTTGCTGTCTGAGGCCAGTCTGATCTTGCAGATTGAATCCATTACTTGCATCAAAACAACATGATTTCTCAGGCTCGAGCAAGGACCTATTGCGTTGAGCAGATTTCCAGTGCTATCGGTACGATGGGGAAGTGCTTAAAAGAACCTGCCTACAATTGCGCATGATTCTGAAACAGAATCTCACAAAGAAACCATCTTCCAAGGTGACTCACAGCAAAGCATGGAACTCCACGCCATATACCAGAAGTGGCCACGCAGCCCTTAGGGTTGATCGGCTGAAGTGGAAGTGAACCTTCCAGGACTTGATAGCTTTGAAAGAGAAGGATGTCTCACAGGATGGTCTCATGCCGACTTGGGAAGGGGCTACTTGCCCTTTCTGTTCCAAGGGAATTGCGGGCCCTCTGCAGGATAGAGATTCAGGACTCGACGAAAGGGTCGTCAAAAGTTCATCACGCCGCAGCACCTCCATCCTTTGTTTTCCACAACAAGAGGGCCGGAGGGGCATTTCTCTTGGACTCCAGGCCGGTGTGTTGCTTTTGCTACTTGCAGGGGTGGCGGCAAGCGCGATCCATCTCGTGACGCAAGTCAACCACAAGGTCGTGGAACGCTTGAAGAGAAGCCTCGATCTTGTCCGCAAAGGCTACGTTGAGCACGTGCAATCCACTATGAGCTTCGGCGGCAGGAATAATGCCTGGCAGGATGTTGAGGTGGATGAGGCTGTGTTCGACAAGACACTCATTCCAATCGAACAGGCGGAGTGCCCGAGTAAGACTGTGGAGTGGGAGCAATGGGTCGGCCTGGTCCAGCGCGGTAAACCAACATCGTTGATTCTTCTACGCCTCTCTCCCAAGCACCTCTTCTGCAAATAATACCACGTAAGCAACGGTGTGCATATACACTTCTCAATTGAATCATCCGAGGCCCACCAACAAGAGATCGCCGGGCCCGGGCCCCATCCGTAAGAATGAGTGGCGCAAGATCGCGGACAAGTGGTTAAAGGACAAGCACGTGATCCTCCACGGCGACAGCGCCAGGGCGTACAAGATCAAAGTTCGAGGCGTTCAACATGGCTCCGTCGTCCATCAGAAAAATGGGTAAAGGTTCATGGTGTATGGAAATGGAAGCAGCCAACCTATGTCAGGCTCAAAACGGCTACCCTGCCTGGTGGCCGCAAGATCACTGTCAAGCTTAGCACTCAAGTCATAGACAGGTGCTGGCGGTTCGTGAAGGAGCGTCTCTGCGTGAATCAGAACGTGAAGACAGGATCGATGCGCATTCAGGCGCAAGTGAGGTCAGCTCAATCTGAATACTGGCACACGGGCGACCTCGTCACGTGGTACATGAGGAAAATCATCGTGTAAGCGAACGAGCCCTGAGACTCTGACAGCCTTCTGCACATCCACAGTTTTGTGTAGAGCATGCTTATGCCACGGATGGGCAAGGCCGATGCTGCTCAAAACAGTGTCTGCGTCTTCGACACAAGTTCAAGCAATCCACGCCTTACACTGCAAACAAAATGGCATGATGCTGGCTTCATGGCAAGCACATATGATAATGAACTTCTATTCAAACCCATATCATATCAAGTATTTCTTCGTCATGCTTGCACAACCCCTTACCTGAAGATCCACCTTCATACAAAAGGTAGATCTTTGGGGTGGGGGTAGCATATGTATATATGTGTATATGTATGTATGTATGTATGTATGTATGTACGTACGTACGTACGTACGTACGTACGTACGTACGTACGTATGTATGTGTGTGTATGTATAAGTGTATGTACGTGTATATTTATATATGTATGTATATAAACATACACATATATGTGTATATGTATATATAT